CCCTTGACAGGGAATTATGGAGGTCGAGCATTAAGGTTGTAGGTTAGGGGAAAGTTGTGAATATTTCTACAGCACAATAGAGTGAGACTAGCCAGTTAGGAATTAGACTAAGAATGTCATTGGTCGTCTATTGATGCAGGGCTTTACGTGCTAGTTTTTACTATACCAACCATCTATTTCGTATTTCGTATTCTGTATTTCATATCTCTTATATTGCTGTTATTTTATTATGCGTTTTTATGGTACTAATATATCGTCTCTTGTTGCTTTCTTGAGCCGAGGGTCTCCTGGAAACAGCCTCTCTACCCTTCGGGGTAGGGGTAAGGTCTGCGTACATATTACCCTCCCCAGACCCCACTTGTGGGATTATACTGGGTCGTTGTTGTTTGAAGCTTTCATCTATAAAGGGAGGGGAAGAGTAATGTTTGCTTAAGAAATGGTAGAAGATAGGAAGAGAGTTACAGGATACAACAATTCTCATCAAAAGATGCGTTGTCAGGATATAGGGAGGGTTAAAAGAAAAAAAGACCAGAGACAAGGAAAAAAGGGAAAAATTATGTCTGGTCTAGCAGCAAAAGGTGATAAGGTGCTAAATCTTCATTGAATAAAATCAAAGTAGGGAGAGAAGCAGGTTCACTCCTCTGGTTGAAACAGGGAGAAGGCCGATGGATCGAGGAGGAATATAAAGAGTTTTGCATAGACCTTCTTCCTCATTGGCTTTTTAAAACTCTCACACAAGTCGCACTTGCCTCTCACATGACATCTGGAATTCTACTCCGTGTGACTGGACACAGCTTCAACAAAAATGTCATAGTGTAGGACAAAAAATTACACTAAATGACCTTGGTCACAACTGAAAAACTTGGCCAAAGGCTTTGAGGACTATGGAGACATCACTCTATTACAATATATGCGATGGTTGAAACGATATGCCTAATGCAATGATATCAAGTGTGTTATATGCCATTAACATATACTCATCTAATCATGTGTTCTGACACACGCACAAAATAGATACATTAGGACACCAAATTCATAAAACATAAGTTATAAGCATCTTTCATCATGGCATATATATGTTCATCCCTATTCCCTTGGCAATGATTACCAATATGGAATAGATGTATATTGTCTCAAGGCACAAAGGTAACATATACACGCCCCTGTATGGTATGGAATTGGAATGCGGAACATTAAACCTCATTCATATATAAACTCATCAATAATTGATTCAGTTAACCAGGAAACTGCTAAAACACATAGTGGAAACATCAAATATTAACTGCAAGAGATATTTTACGCAAGGGAAAAATAGATGAAGTGAATACTAAAGGGAGAAAACACCTAATTCCACTAGCAAGCAAGCAATCATCTACATCTTACAAGTCCCCATTTATAAGAACTTGCAGAATGAGAAAAAAAAACATCTTTTAGCGAGATGAATTCAGCTTGTTATCACCAAGTGTCATATTTGCAATTATTCCTGAGAAATATATTTTAAAAAAAGAAAATTGAGAACAGCGTACCCCAAGCAACAGTGCACTCCTCGCTAGTGGCACTAGCTTGATTAGCTTGACATTCGATGCCTGATAGCAATTTTCACACAATGGAACAAATAAATAGAGGATAAAGTATCCATCTTTTTCGTTTTTAGGTAAAAAGAGAAGCTAAAGAAAATCTTCAAAATACTCAGAGGTCCATAATATGGTTCCTGCAAATAGCACAGTTGTCTACAACAATATCTGCATCAGCAATTTCACGAATCACGTTAGCTAAACACTAATTTCATACCGGTTGATCGGGAACAGCGACTACAAACTATTCCAACAAAAAGATTCAAAACACAAGAGAGAAAGAAGGGATGCAGTGAGTTAGAAAAAAGCGAACCCCAATTCCCCTTTAACTTTGACTAATGTCATTTTTCCTCCTTTATCCTACACAATACCCTTTTTGCCCTTGAATTTTCAATTCCCTATATAGTATACTTTTTTATTCTATAATATTTTTATGGTTTTATCTTTAATTTAAATTATGTTATACAACAACAACAACAACAACAACAACAACAACAACAACAACAACAACAACAACAACAACAACAACCACCTAGTGTGGTTCCACAAGTGAGGTCTGGGGAGAGTAGGATGTACGCAGCCTTACCCCTACCCTGGAAGGGCAGAGAGACTGTTTCCGATAGACCCTCGGTTAAAGAAGGTGAGAGAAGCCCTGGTAGCAAGTAATAGCAAAACAATAATTAGAAAACTAAATCGGAGATAGCAACAGATAATATGAAAGGGATACTGATAACAAGTAGTAGCAAGATAACATATTTAGAAAACTAATTCCAAGGCAACAGACAAGAATATGAACGAAGTACTGCTAGCAAACTACGGAATTACCAATGGCAAGTAACAACGAAACGAGACATGCGAATATAGCAAACTAAGGAAAAAGGGGTATTGTACTAGCGCTAATACTATCGAGCTAGAGAAGACAAAAGGAAATGCACGACTACCTACTACCCTAATCTTCAACCTCCACACCCTTCTATCTAGAGTCATGTCCTCGGTTAGCTCAAGTAGCTCCATATCCCGCCTGATCACCTCTCCCCAAGACTTCTTTCTACCCCTCCTCTCACCTCATAAGGCTAACCTCTCACATTTCCTGAGAGGGGCATCTGCGCTTCTCCTCTTAACATCCCGAACCATCTCAACCTTGTCTCACGCATCTTTGCCTCCACAGGGCCACTCCCACCTTGTCTCCAATAACTTTATTCCTAATTCTATCCAACCTAGTATGCCCACACATCCATCTTAACATCCTCATTTCCGCTACCTTCATCTGTTGGACATGAGAGTTTTTGACTGGCCAACACTCTGCCCCATACAACATAGTCGATCTAACTACTACCTTGTAGAAATTACCCTTAAGTCTCAACGGCACATTCTTATCACACAAGACATCGGAAGCGAGCCTCCACTTCATCCACCTTTCTCCGATACGGTGTGTGACATCCTCATCTATCTCCCCATCCTTCTGAATTATAGATCCCAGATACTTGAAACTCACTCTCCTGGAAATGACTTGCGTATCAAGTTTCACATCCCCGTCCGCCTCCTGGGTAACACCGCTGAACTTCCAAGTATTTTGTCTTAGTCCTGCTCAACTTGAAATCCTTAGACTCCAGGGTATGTCTCCAGACCTCCAGCCTCTCGTTAATGCCACTTCACGTCTCATCAATCAGGACTATGTCATCCGCAAATAACAAGCACCAAGGCACCTCCCCTTGAATGTGACGTGTCAAAGAATCCATTGCCAGGGAAAATAAAAACGGGCTAAGTGTTGATCCCTGATGCAACCCATCTCAACCGGAAAGTAATCCGAGTCTCCACCTGCTGTCCTAACCCGTGTCTTAGCTCCATCATATATGTCCTGAATCACTCTAATATACGCTACATGCACTCCTCTAGCCTCCAAATATCTCCATAGAACCTCTCTGGGGACTCCAGGTCAATGAATACCATGTGCAAATCCTTCTTCACCGCCCTAAACTACTCCACCAATCTCCTCACAATATGAATAGCCTCAGTGGTCGACCGTCCTGGCATGAAACCAAACTGGTTCTCGGAAATAGACACACACCTCCTCAACCTCCCTTCAATCACCCTCTCCCACACCTTCATCGTATGGCTTAACAACTTGATACCCCTATAGTTATTGCAGTTTTGGACATCCCCCTTATTCTTGTACAACAGGATCATCGTACTCCGCCTCTACTCTTCGGGCATCTTCTTCGTCTTAAAAATGACGTTAAACAACCCAGCAAGTTATTCCAAGCCCTCCTTACCTACGCTCTTCCAGTATTCCACTGGGATTTTGTCCGGCCCCGTCGCTCTACCCCCACTCATCCTGCGAATAGCCCCTACAACCTCCCCAACTCGTATACGTCTACAATACCCGAAATCTTGATGTCGCTCCGAGTACTCCAACTCCTCCAACACAATGCCCCTATCTCCCTCTTCATTCAAGAGCCTATGGAAGTAAGACTGCCATCTCTGCCTAATCTGTGCCCCCTCCAATAAAACTCTTCCCTCCTCATCTTTTATGCATCTCACTTGGCCCAGATCTCGAGCCTTCCGCTCCCTCACCTTCGCTAGCCTATACAACTTCCTGTCCCCGCCTTTATCCCCAATTTCTTCGTATAGACGACTAAACGCGGCGGTCTTAGCTGCAGTAACCGTCAACTTTGCCTCCTTTCTAGCCTTCTTATACCCCTCCCTATTAGCACTTCTGCCCCTCGTCTATACTCTCTACTAGCTTCAAATATACCGCTTTTTTGGCTTACATATAGTTAATATGCATTAGATTAAAATACCAATCATAAAGACAATGGTAAATTTATAATATTTATAAAAGTATTATTCTACTTATAATTTTAATGAACTTCAATTATAATTTATAANATATTAAAGCAAGAAAGTTTGTATTGTGGTTAAGCCAAGTGGCAAGCTACAATAAAGCCACTTGGCAATCTTAAAGAGCTTGTAGGAGATTGTCATGAAATAAGGAAATATCACATAAGAACTATATATGTAATTCCATTTATTGAAATTAAATTGAAATAAGAATTTTTTTTTAAAAAAAAATAAAGTTCAATCACTGTACTAATATTTTGTAACTGAAATTTTTTATTTGGAAAGTAAAGAATTTTGATATCAATAGTATTTGGATTCCTTTTCTAATATCGAGTGAGAAGAATATATCCTACTGTAATCTAATGTGCAATTTTATTTTATTTTCAAAATTCAATACTTTTTAATGAGTTGAAGAATATATTTTAAGGCTTTAACCTAAAGTTCAGAATGTAGATATATTCAATAATTTATTTATTTCATAATGGATAATCCAAAGTATTTATTTTAGACTAAGTTTTCTGAATTTTAAACAAGTATACAATAAAAATAATTTTTTTAAAGGCTACAAGCTTCAACAAAAATAATAATTAGTAGAAGTTTAATAATAAAAATATCGTAATATTTTGGTGAAGTGCTATATAGTTTGATCATAAGCACTTTTATTTTTGTCTATAATTGAATAAAATACTAAATAAAAAAATTAAATAAAATATCATACTTACTAGGGAAAATAATTTAGAAAGAGGGGGATAAAGATAGTGTGAGAGAATTTATACATTGAATTAATTTAAATGATAAAATAAAATAAATAAATAATTAATACTCAAAAATGTTATTGATAAATTCAAATATTATATAGCGAAAGATTAAAAATAAATAAAAATATTATTTTAAGAGAAAGAAAAATCATATTGATTATAGTATATTATAATAGAAGTAGCATGTAGGGATATAAAGTAGATGACAAGCTAATAAAAAGTTAAGTAATAATGTAACCATATTAAGTAACGGGTAACACACTAATAATAGACAAAGAAACAAAAAATCTCTATATATATTAAAGCAAAAAAGTTTGCATTGTGGTTAAACCAAGTGGCAAGCTACAATAAAGTCACTTGGTAATCTTAAAGAGTTTGTAGGAGATTGTCATGAAATAAGAAAATATCACATAAGAACTATATATGAAATTCCATTTATTGAAATTAAATTGAAATAGGATTTTTTAAAAAAAAAATAAAGTTCAATCACTATACTAATATTTCTAACTGAATTTTTTTATTTGGAAAGTAAAGAATTTTGATATCAATAGTATTTGGATTCCTTTTCTAATATCGAGTGAGAAGAATATATCCTACCGTAATCTAATGTGTAATTTTATTTTATTTTAAAAATTCAATACTTTTTAATGAGTTGAAGAATATATTTTAAGGTTTTAACCTAAAGTTCAAAATGTAGATATATTCAATAATTTATTTATTTCGTAATGAATAATCCAAAGTATCTATTTTAGACTAAGTTTTCTGAATTTTAAGCAAGTATACAATAAAAATAATTTTTTAAAGGCTACAAGCTTCAATAAAAATGATAATTACTAGAAGTTTAATAATAAAAATACCGTAACATTTTGGTGAAGTACTATATAGTTTGATCATATGCACTTTTATTTTTGTCTATTATTGAATAAAACACTAAATGAAAAAATTAAACAAAATATCATACTTACTAGGGAAAATAATTTAGAAAGAGGGGGATAAAGATAGTGTGAGAGAATTTATACATTGAATTAATTTAAATGATAAAATAAAATAAATAAATAATATATACTCAAAAATATCTATATATATTAAAGCAAAAAAGTTTGCATTGTGGTTAAGCCAAGTGGCAAGCTACAATAAAGCCACTTGGCAATCTTAAAGAGTTTGTAGGAGACGGTCATGAAATAATGAAATATCACATAAGAACTATATATGGAATTTCATTTATTGAAATTAAATTGAAATAAGATTTTTTTTTTTTTTAAAAAAAAAAAGTTCAATCACTGTACTAATATTTTCTAACTGAAATTTTTTATTTGGAAAGTAAAGAATTTTGATATCAATAGTATTTGGATTCCGTTTCTAATATCGAGTGAGAAGAATATATCCTACTGTAATATAATGTGCAATTTTATTTTATTTTAAAAATTCAATACTTTTTAATGAGTTGAAGAATATATTTTAAGATTTAACCTAAAGTTCAGAATGTGGATATATTCAATAATTTATTTATTTCATAATAGATAATCCAAAGTATCTATTTTAGACTAAATTTTCTGAATTTTAAACAAGTATACAATAAAAATAATTTTTTTAAAGGCTACAAGCTTCAACAAAAATAATAATTAGTAGAAGTTTAATAATAAAAATATCGTAATATTTTGGTGAAGTACTATATAGTTTGATCATATGCACTTTTATTTTTATCTATTATTGA